GTGTGGGAGGAAGCCGGGTGGTGTGTGGCTGCTGCCTGTAGCAGCAGAGCTAAGCAGGGTGGCATGTGCGTGGCTAGTGAGCCATGTGCCGCAAGAAGCGAGGCCATCATGCTGAAGTACGTCTCCCTTGCCTCTTCCTCAGCAACACTGACTGTAACAGTAATTTTCTGATTTAATGTCTGCTGCCAGCAAAATGACCAGAGTTTATTGTATGGAACTACTCTAGCACAGTGAGACTAATCCCTCAAATGAGAATTGTTTTTTTTTTTATTTAAGTGTCAGTAGCAAGATCAAAAATGCACTTTATATAGTTACTGTACTTCTAGTGCTGCTTTTTCTGAGCTATTTGGATTGAGGGAGATGGCTTTACTTTCTGCTGTTAACCTTCCCCAAGAAGTTTGGCAGCCTTCTCTTTTGAGATATTTCTAGTACAGAAGTAAAAGCTGCCCCTAAACTATTTGTCTCTTGGGGGCTGCATAAATATACTTTATTGGAGTGTCTGCACTGAGAGCAAGTTCTCTTCAGATTATAAAATCTTACTTTAAGGAAACTTGGTGATAGTAGTGATAATCATTGCAGCAAAAAAAAAGCAGTGTATTAAGCCCTCATGTGAAGAGTGTTAATGAATAATTTTGAGTAAAGCTGTGGCCAAGGATTATGCTGAGACCTAAAATTAGTAATCTCTTTTGGAAATCTGTTGGAGGAAGCATCTCCGACTTTATTTTTGTCTGGTAAAACCTGCATGCCCTAACTTTAAATGAAATAGCATGTTTGTACCTGCCACCTAGTCAGTGTATAACCAAGGACTGAGTTGTCCCTCATTAAAATACATTGCTGGTATTGTTCTGCAGCCAGACAGGTATTCAGACCTAAGGAAGTGTTATTTTTGCAACAATAAAGCAATTACATGTTTCATTAGTTTTACAGGGCCAGTGTCTTTGCCAGATGGTCTAAGTGTTTTTTTTTGGTTTTTTTTTTTTTTTTTCCCCACAAGTAAAGATAGACATAGGCTTATATATATAGTTACAAACAAATTAGTTTTGCTTAAGCTTCAGTCTCCTTGGTGGAGAACTGCAGCAACTTTCTGTATCATTTGAAGTAACATTATAAAGCATCCTGTTGTAAAGCACTAGTTCAGCATGACTGACAGTATTTTTGCAAGAAAATATTAATGATAGGACCTTCAAAATTCCTGGAGATAGATGTTTGGTACTATCCAATCACATGAAAACAGTTCTGGCAGGCGAGGCAATTGCAAGAGCCCATAGGCTTCATCTGATCCTGACTCCTGGCCTCAGCTTTGATAGCAGCCTGCCTTCTGTGGTTGGTCTCTGTTCTGGATAGAGAAGCCTCAGCTTCTGCTCTTTCTTGAGAGTTTGCAGTAACCTCAGTCCTCCCTGGAGTGTAAATAAGATGTACCTTCAGATGATCTATAGAATGCCTTGGAAACAGAATGCGATAATAGCATTTGGGGAAACAATAATTAGTAAGCAAGTGACTGACTTTCTTATGGCACTCTGCTGCAGATCTGCAGAGTAAGAAAGTATGATTCTGGCTGGAGGATGGGAGAGAATCCTGAATTTGTACAGAAGCAAAAATGAGGAAAATATATATCACACCTTTTAGACGCTTATTCTGCAGTTCTGTATCAAGGTGCTGCAACAACTTCACAACCACTTTTTATGTGGAAGAATTGACATTAGGAAATGGTTCTGTTATGGGTTGTCTTCCCTGATGCAAGTGTGCTTTTCTCTCCCTCCCCACCCCTCTTCCATCCCCAAGGTGGAAAAGATTCGCCAAGTCAAGGCTAAGTCACTCTACTTGCAAGTTGAAAAGTTACGTCAGAACCTAAACAAGCTAGACAACACGATCAGTGCTGTCCAGCAGGTCCTGGAGGAGGGTCGTACCATGGATATTCTTCTGGCTCGGGACCGCATGCTGTCTCAGGTGCAGGAGCTGAAGAATGTGAGAGCCTTTCTCCAGCCACAGGAAGATGACAGGATCATGTTCACTCCCCCTGACCAAGCATTGTACATGGCCATTAAATCAATGGGCTTTGTTAGCAGTGGGGCTTTTGCTCCCCTGACCAAAGCCACCGGGGAAGGCCTCAAGCGTGCGCTTCAGGGCAAAGTGGCCTCTTTCACAGTGATAGGCTATGACCATGACGGCGAGCCTCGCCTTTCGGGAGGAGACATGATCTCTGCAGTGGTGATGGGCCCCGATGGAAACCTTTTTGGGGCAGACGTCAGTGATCAGCAGAACGGGACCTACCTGGTCAGTTACCGTCCACAGCTAGAGGGAGAGCACCTGGTGTCCGTGATGATGTGCAACCAACACATTGAGAACAGCCCCTTCAAAGTTGTAGTAAAATCTGGGCGCAGCTACATAGGCATTGGGCTGCCGGGACTCTCTTTTGGCAGTGAGGGAGACAGTGATGGCAAACTCTGCCGTCCCTGGGGAGTCAGTGTAGACAAAGAGGGCTACATCGTTGTTGCTGATCGCAGTAATAACCGCATCCAGGTGTTCAAACCGTGCGGGACCTTTCATCACAAGTTTGGCACACTGGGCTCCCGGCCCGGCCAGTTTGACCGCCCTGCTGGCGTGGCCTGCGACATCTCACGCAGAATCGTTGTGGCCGACAAGGACAATCATCGCATCCAGATCTTCACGTTTGAGGGGCAGTTCATTCTGAAGTTTGGGGAGAAAGGAACAAAGAACGGGCAATTCAATTACCCGTGGGATGTAGCTGTCAACACAGAGGGCAAGATCCTGGTCTCTGACACTAGGAACCATCGTGTTCAGCTGTTCGGGCCCGACGGGGTGTTCCTGAACAAGTACGGCTTTGAAGGGGCACTCTGGAAGCACTTTGATTCCCCAAGAGGTGTGACTTTCAATCACGAGGGCCACTTGGTAGTGACGGACTTCAACAACCATCGTCTTCTGGTCATCCATCCTGACTGCCAGTCGGCACGCTTCCTGGGCTCAGAGGGCACTGGGAACGGCCAGTTCCTGCGCCCGCAGGGTGTGGCGGTGGACCAGGAGGGGCGCATCATCGTGGCTGATTCCAGGAACCACCGGGTGCAGATATTCGAGTCAAACGGGAGCTTTTTATGCAAGTTTGGCACTCAGGGAAGCGGCTTTGGTCAGATGGACCGTCCTTCAGGTATAGCCATCACCCCTGATGGCATGATTGTTGTGGTCGACTTCGGAAACAATCGAATTCTTGTCTTCTAATCTGTGTTTGAATTAGGAAGAAACTGTCTCAGGGAAATTCTTCGAAGAGAAAATGAAAAAATACAACGTTAATTCAAACCTACCTCATCTTTAATTTTTTTACAGATGAATGTACTTATCTTTTCTGCAGGGAGTGAGCCTGTAAAATTGAATTCTATCTACCTCATTGTTCTCCCTTTCCTCCTGGGTTTCTTGCCCCCTTCCGATCCCCACGCACTCACAGTTCAGAATGTTTTACCTCTCCCCCAACAGGGTTTCATGCACAAACAAGTGTTGCTGTGCACATTAGGTGGTTTGTGAGGTGAGTTCTGTAGACTGAGCCAAAAAAGGCTCTGTGTAACTCTTAATGGAGAAAATGGTAGTAGATGCTCATAGAGAATTTGTTCTTGACCATACTGCAGTTCTGTGGGTGGGGATGTGGGAAGGGGGGATTTTTTTTTTAATTGCTGCTGCAGCAGAGAACTTTTTCCTGTTCTCCTTTTTATACCTCAGTGTGTTTGATTTACTGGTGAGCACAGCGTCTTGTTCCCAGATGACTTTGAGCGTTTTGTGAGAGTAGAGTTTGCTTGCCGGGAAGAGCAAGTTTGCATCTTTTTGGCATTTGTGTATTTTTTTTTTTGAAACGCAGTAATCCAACAGCACAAAGTAAAACTGATGAAAATGCACAAAAATTATTTTAAACCAAATTGTTCATTTTAGTGGCTTAGTGCAGTCTTGTAATGTTTAGATAAAAATCTTCCCTTTAATGTATCCTATCATTGAGTATTTCTTTTTACCCTTTTCACCTGAAAGCTAAATTAGTTTTTAAAAGTTACTGTTTCTTTTATCAGTGCACCTAATCTGCGTAACAGAGGAGATTACAAGGAGCATTGAAACAGGGAAAACCCTTTTGATTTATTTTCTTGTGAAATAGCTTTTTTTTTTTTGTCCCCCATCCCCATAGTGAGACTTTAAGGGAATAGAGTTTGATGGGTTTGTTAAAACAGAAGTGGTACCTTTTTCCAAAACTAAGAAGTAAAGCACAGCTTTGGAGATTCAGGGTGTGTTTTGGAGAATTCAGCAGGTTTTTGTGTTTAAAGAGGGTTGCAGTAACTCTCAGTGACAAATGTTTTTACATCTTCTGGCTTCCCCAAAGAGCTGGACTGAAAAATTCAGGAAGGTCTACTGTAGTTTTTAGGGCAGGGTGGCCCTGGAGTTCTATTGTACCTCTTGCTACAGATCCAAGTGAAAAGTTGCCAGTACTAGCATAAGGCAAACTGCATCAAGATGAGACTTTGCTGCTTTTTTTTCCAGGGCAGCACCAAAGAATTCTATGTAACATAACTGTATATGATGTGATCCTTACATGATATGATCCTTAAAAGCTTGGAGGCAGGAGGAGGTTAGCCCTTTCAGAGATATAAAAACAGCTTTTCTGAGAAGTAGAAACTTTTTTGGAGAATAGAGATCTTTTTAGCAAAATGTGACTTTAAGTCCCTGGAAATATTTGGTTTTGTTCTTCAATTTCTTACATTCTAGTTTAGCTGTTAATGCAGATCTGGTCTCTACAGAGCTGTTAGTTCACCTTTTGGCTTTGGTGACAAACAAGATGGTTAAAGGAGAGACCAGAGGGCTTTTCTGTTTCTGCAGTGGAAAAAAAAAAAAAAAAATTATGTATCGATACTCTTAGGCTTCAAAATGTCATGGTATTTACCTTGCTGTTTGCAAGAGAAGATTTCTGAAACATACATGGTCATCGTCAAAAAGTCTGAAGAGCCCGAGCCATCCTCCAAGGAAAGGGTTCATCTCTCTGCCAGCTATCATGCACAAAAGTGAGTTAGTGAGTTTGAAAGGCTCTTTGCAAGTTTGGGAGAAATCACAGGGTGCACTTTCCTTCTTGCTGCTTTTTCCCTCCAAGGAGTATTAACTTTCTGGGTAATGAGGAAATCTGGATAATGCGTACAGACAGACAGCTGCCACTTTAGAGGAGGCTTAAACTAAAGGACCAGAAAGACAGTTTAATGAGATAGCAAAACCTCTTTTGAAAGGATGGTGGGGAAAACCACCTAATTTAAATAGGGTAAAATAACTGTGCTGCCTTTTAAAAACCCAAAATCTCTAGGAAGCAAACATTTCAGAGTGGTGTGTTTCAGTTAGGCTTAATCTTAGTGTTGCATGGTTTAAAAATAGTCTTTAATGGATAATCTCTTAGACAGATGTCTGTCATTCAATTTTTGTGGCCACTCAAAATACGGAGATGAGAGAGCTAGTTTACCTTCAGCTTTTTCAAGTTCTGCTTGTGTGTCTGCCTCCATTCTTGGCGGTGGCCTACAGTTGTGACATATCCAGGGTTGGACTGAGTAGTACATGACAAGAATTATTTGCAATGTGGGCTGTGGAAACAGCCTGCAAAATCTAGATACCAAAGAAAACTGGTTTAAAAAGCTTTAATATTTAGTTTGCAGTGTCCTTGCATTGGTCCTATCATGTCTTGATAAAAATGCCAGGTCTTTTAATACCTTGACCAGAATGGCTGACAGTGTGGGAGTATGCTAGAAATACTCTTGTGCTTTAATGTTGTTGGGCTTCTCCTTTCTCTGGGACCAGAAGCGAGTTGTTCTTTTCAGGCATTACTAAAAAGTTAAGTGTGTTGAACTGCAGAAATCTCTTTGCCGCTTTCCAGCCTGCGGTGCGTAGGGGACAGACACTGAAGCTGCCCTTTGCTGTTCTGTATGGAGCCATTGCACAAACCCCCAGTCCAGCTCTGTCAGGAAGAAGAATGACTTTAAGTTGTGTATTTAATTCAGTAGGATTTGCTTACAAACCAAAACCTCAAGTGTTTGACCTCATGTGTTGGGGAGCTTTTTCGTTTTAAAAACACTACTATTGAGCTACCCAAAATAAGTCCTTAATATTTGTCATAGTGCTAAGCACACTTGGTCTTATTGAAAAAGTGGTAGTGTAGCTTATAAAATGGAGTGTTTTATATGCAATGAAAAGAAGTAGCGGTAATACACAATGCCAACATTAGATGCTCCATAGGGGCTTTTAAAAAGTAAAACTTAAACGTTTGAGATTCAAACCTTGCTCTGTTTTTTCCATGCATGTTCTCAGGCTATGCATGTTCTCAGGTTAATGCCCCAGTGTCACAGCATACACAGGGCAGAGAGGAAAAGCAAGGCTTTGAAGCTAGATTGCAAACTGAACAAGCATTCAGAGTAATCTTCTGAACCAGTGGAAATGGCCTGGAGAAGGGTAAGGTGAGCTTGTGCCTCTTTCTCTCAGCTCTTGACATTGAGGAACAACAGGTGTGAGTGGCAGACCTGTCTAGTAGAACTCTGAAAGCAGTTTCACTATGCCAGGTTAAACCAGTGGCTCTCAGTAAACTTTTTGCTTGACAAAATATTACCAGCAGTTAGTATGGCTGGTTTGGGTTCAGTCTATTGAAGCAATCTTGCCCTCTCTCAGACTTGAAGCAGACTCAGTACTTGAATAATGCAGGTCCTTCAGAGAATTCACTCCTTTCTATTTAGTACCTTTTAAATATAATTTATTTTAAGAAGCCCATAAACCTTAAACTTGTAAAGAAAGCAAGGGAAGGATGACACCTGGAAATGATTACATATTGGGGCCAAGTGTAATCAAGTTGGGAGAAAGAGGAACAAGGCACTTGGTTGTGGCATTCCTTTGGAGTTGCAGGAAAATGGGCCAACTCTGTTATGTTGCAGTTAAACCAAAATTAATTTCTGAAGAGAGCAAGTTTTTATAGGCTTATCTTGCCATAACTTTGATCATTCTTTGTTCAGTTCTGATTTTACAAAAGAACATACTGTGCCAAAGTGTTTTGGGGTCTTTCTGTTGTGGTGGTGTGGTTTGTTTTTTTTTTTTTTAATAAAAGGAGTGTAAGCCAAATGGTGCCAAAAGGTATTAGGGTATTTAAAGATGGAGATATTTAGGCAAACAGTTTGGAGCTGTATAAAAAATGAACACTGGTACTTGCGTTAGACAAATATTGTACCTATGGTCTTTGAGTCCTTGGGAGTTTGAAACCCAGTTTGCTGTGGTACAAAATGCACAACTAGAGATGCCACTATCTTTTCTTGAAGTTCTACCTCACTTTGCAGAAATAAAACATCTACCTCAGTTTAGCATCAGACAGGTTTGAGACATAATTGAGAATCTGCCTGGGGAAGGGTTCATGCTGCCTGTTGGACAAGCATTTTAGCTGAAACGGAGATACTAAGTGTGTACAATGTGGTGACTTCTTGCTTTTGTTTGCTCTTGTTTTTGCTGCCTGCCCATGGACATACCAAGCTGCTCTTGCTAGAGAATCTGTAAATAAACACAAATGGTTGTATGTTCAGGCAAACTGGACTGAGATACCTTGAAACACTTCTGTGTTTGTTCTGTTTTCACTATGATGTATGGAAATGTAAACTTTTTTCAGTATTTTGACACTACTAGCTGACATTACACACTTCATGATCATTTGCAGTGTTCCTATGTCCATAAGACCTTTAGGTCTTCTCTCTACAAGAGGAAAAACTTTTATGCATGCCTACAGATATGTCCTGTTTGGAAAGATGAATGTTATAATTGCTGTAAACACAACTCTATACCAAATGCTTGAAGGGAATAAGATACTGACTTTTTTTGACTTGGTGATTGTATCAGTAGCTTTCTTGACTCAATGGGATTTTTTTCCGCCATGGCAAAGCAACCAAGTTCCTATTCCTGGAGGGCAATTTGCATTCAGACATTCTCAGGAGAGGCAGTTTAAAACCAGTATGTTGGGGTTTTATGCAACTCTAATAGTGACATGCAACATACCCCTTGTTTTACCTGTGGAGTAAAGTTGCAGAAGCACATTTTCAGATTACTATATTGAAAAATCTTTTTTCCTCCCCTGTTCATATTAGGGATGACAGAAGTGGGTACAGGAGACCCATAATAACAATAATAGGCTGTGCTGGGTTTGATAAATGTTATGGTGGAAAATGTACATTGATGTCTCTTAAGTGATCTTACGGGTTAGCAAGCCAGACTGGCATCTTTTTCCATCATTGTTTAACCAGTAATGGTTCTAAAAATGCTTTCTGTACCTGCATGGTCTTAGACCTTCTATTAATGATTGTATCAACTTACAAACTCAGGTAGATAATTTTTTTGAGCTCTTTTCATAGAGCCTTACTGACTGAATGTTAAGTGTCTGTGTAGTGATGTAGTTAAGTAATTTTCTTTTGAACTACCAGACTAGTTAAAAAAGAGTCCTTTTATAGGTTTGTAGAGTACTCCTCAGACAATGTAGTAGTTTTTCCTTCAGAGGGAGAGATGTCTTGTTTCTGGATTTTGTTTTTAGTTTCTTTTCTAAAATAACTGAAATTTTTAACTAGTTTGTAAGGTGTGCTTAGTCACAGGAGTTGGTGGGGGTTTCTTACTGTATGTGACTCTTGTACGGTGCGTTACCTGTCATGCGCTGCTTGGTCCATGCACAATTTGTTGGAGCAGTGAGGATGTTGAGCACACGCCTGCAATTCAAGTCAAACAGAAATTGGAAGCCTTGAATGAAATGGAGGTTGTCCATGTGAAGCTAATCTCACAAACGTGCGTTTCTCTCCCGTCATTTAATCAACTCTTAGATATATGGCCCAAATTTCACTGCTGGTGTGTAAGTAGTACTGCCTTAGTGCAGGTTTGCAATGGGGTTCAGAACAATTTTGTCAGTCCTTGGGTGTTGGGCATCTTGAGTTGATTTGTTGTTTCCTCTTCTGTTGCAGTTGCTTTTTTAATCCTTTAGTGATTAATAATGCTGCTTTTTTAATAATAATTAAAATGTCTCAGCAGGACAGACAGAGCTCTGCTTTTAATATGCTCCTCAGAGCTTTTGTATCTATTTGAGACAGGCTGTGACAAGAACTTCCAGGCTCCAAAAAGGGCCTCACATCTCTACTTGGACAAAAAGTGACATAAATTTTAGATGTCAGACATTGAGTACCACAGGAGAAAGCATGACAGGTTATATACAAACTTATGTAGAATAAGTGAGCAAAATGTTAGAACCCTTGTGTTAATGGAGGCTTCTGAATGTATCTTTGTGGTCCATAGGGAAGGCTGAAGGATGTAGCAAGGAGATGATGTATCAGCTACTGGCAGCCTTAAAACAAAGTCAGTGTCTCTCTGGACTTTAAAATGTTCCTATGCAGTTTATTTTATTTTTGTTTAATCAAATAAATGTGAGGGTTTTTTTCCAAGGCAAATCTGTGTGTGTGTTTCTGTATTATCTAGAAAAAGAATTCTGGTCTGTTAGGATGCAAACAAGAAGAAGCACCTGCTAGAATTTTAACTTGGCCACCCCCATATGACTACTGAAAACTTTAACCTGCTTTGAGAGATATTGAGGTGCTATTGATAGAAGTGGTTTTTAAAATGTATTTAAAAAGCCAGCCTACTGTCATGGCTGGAGGAAGTTGGCTGTGATACTGAACTCACTACCTGTACCCCATGCAGTTTCACCAGTATTTTGCAGAATTTCCTGGCTTAACCTTGCTAGGGCCATTTATAAGTTTCCGTTTCTTCACCTTTGCATCTGTGACAGTAATGCTGTATCTGCGTGGCAGAGTAAAGCAAAGCCACCAGCACATCTAACAGTGCATCTGGCATCTTGAAGCAGACTGCCAGTGAAGCTGGGTAAGCAGGAATTGTGGTCTTTTTCCTTACTGCCTTGGAAAAGGTTTGAAAAGAAGTGGTGAGTGGGGAAAGATGCTCTTCAAGGAAGGTTTGAGAATTAAGGCCACTGACTGAACTGCAAGCATGGCTGGCAGGGAGGGTGGATTCCAGTCTCTGGAAGTGCTGACTGACTAATGTTTCAAAGTGGTGATGCTTTCTGGCTCCAGCTGTGTACAACCACGGGACTGCTCAGCACCATACTGTGCTCTGTCCATCATAACCCTCGACCTGATCGTTGCTCTTGCTTCCTGCTGGAGCAGCTTGACAACATGTCAGCAGTACAGAGATCATCTCAAGTTGAAAGGAGAGAGGGAGAAGACTGTATGGAGTGGGGAAAGGCTGCTCAGGTGAGTTTCAAGATTACAAACTTTCCCTGCTTTGTGTGGTACTGTGTGTATGCCCTTCTGTGCTCTCTCCTTTCCCTCTCCATGAAGACAACCAGAATGTAGAATCTCATGAACTGGCTCTGGATGCTGCTGACCCTTGCCCCATGGCCATGGTCACCGTTTTGCTAAAGCCTTTAGCTCAGAGCTCCTGCCAGCATTGTGGGTGAGGAAGGTGAGCTAGCAACTGGGGTTGTGGTGTTTGTGGGGGAAAAGGGAGTGAACCCTTCTGCTGTGGGGGGGGGAGAGGAGCCAGCGCATGACTGCAGAGGTGAGATCCTGGAGGAAAGGGGAGGGTAGGAGAGGACAGGCAGGCATTCCTCCTTCAGGAAGTTCCCCAAACCAAAAGAAGCATTATTGACTTGACACACATCCCAGCCTGTGCTGGTTCTGCTCCCACTGCTTTTGCCACAGCACAGCTTTTAGTTTTACTTGACCTTTGCTTCATTACTATCAGAGCCCAAAACCAACAGGCAAAATGGCAGAAGCGGGTAGTGACTGTGACAATGCCAGAGAGGAGATGGGCCCTTGACTGCTCCACTTCCCCAATGGGTTTTGGTAGTTTTTTCTCTGTTAATAATAAAACTGTGAAGCCCAACTGCTGAAAGTCACCACCACTCTTTTCAAGTAGCAATACTAGATCCAAGAAGGGGGACTGGGGGGGGATCCCAAATGCTGTCACTGTTGGAGGAGAGCTGGGGTTGAATGGTTCTGCTCACATGCAAATGCAGCTGTGATGAGATGTGCAGTATCTGGGGAACAACCGAGCTCAAAGGGAGCGGTGGGGTCTATGGGTGGAGCTGCATGCTGCTGAAGAGCTCAGCATTAGCACCTTCTGCATGTGAATGCCCTGCATGCTGGGTGGGGAAGGGTGGCAGAGAGTCTTCTCCATTCTGTGCTTGGGACCACAGGGGCAGCATCTTTAACCTTTTTGTGTTCAACCAGTCAGTCTGCTGTGACTGGAGGTATGTATCTGTTACTTTTCTCCCTTCTTACAGAAAAATTATATCTGCACACTTTTTTAATTGTTAATACTTTATAACTGCTTGCCCTTACTTAAGGACTGAGCAGCACCTCCTACAGCAATAGGGAAGTTACTGGAAAAGCCAGATACAGGGTCATTACTTCCAAAGTCTTGAAAAGCAGTGAAGCCAGCTATCAAGGACAGGAGGAACACCCTCCGGCTGAAGCCCCATGCACTCTGCAACTTACACATAGTTTAATGAATTTGTCTTCTATCAGTTGTTGCTTGTTTGAAGATCTTGGGGACTAAACACAGAACTGCTTATGGTACAAAGCTATATGGAAGTTACTGAGAGCACAGCTTGGCAGACCTGGACTCCCAGGTGATGACCCCTTTGAAAAAGGGACCTTCCTGGAGTAGTAACTGGCAGCTACAATGTTATAGCCTAGCTGTACCCTGGAGATCATCAGGCCAAGTGTCAGAACAGACTGAAAGGGCAAAGAACAGACAGGGAGGGAAAGGGAGGGAAGATGCTAAGCTCTGTGCTACACCAATTATCTTATGCCTGAAGTCCCAAGGCAGGTGTTCTACACCCATAATAAGAAATCAGTGTCTCCTTGTGTATGCTATCTTGCAGCATCTAGGTGGTTTGAGTGACATGCAGAAAAAGGTACTCCTGTGAGGCAGAAACCAGTTCAGCAGATGAAAAATTAACTGCAAAACAACAAAATTTTATCTTGCAGCCAGGCACACTTCCTGTAACTGCACAATTGCCCCCTTCCTTTAGGGCAAAATAAAAAACAAAACCACACCCCAGCACAAACAACTCCCTGCCAGGTAAAGGGAGTATTCCCAGCACTGGTCCCTTTAGCCACTGCCTGCTTATTCCCCCCCCCAACACCCCTTCCCCCTCCCTCCTCCTTGCAGACAGGACAAAACCTTGAACAGTTGCTAGCCACCTTGCTCTACCACCTTTCTTGTTTTGGCAAAATGCATGAGGGAGCACACCCTCCCTCACTCCCAGATACACCACAGACCAAGCTCCCAGCTGGAGCAGGGTAGTGGACTGCAGCTATGTGAACATAGTAAAGTTAAGTTGAGCGAAAGCCTCTTCTTTGAGCAATACAAAGCACAGCTTGTATCCATCAAAACACAGCAGCCAACACAACAGCTCAGCTGCTACTTAAGCAGGACTTCAGGTAAATGACACTCTCCTTCAGTAGCTTCCCTCCCATATGTTGCTCCTCAAAAAAAGCAGAATGACACACTTGGTTAACCACTTTTTTGGTTAAGTGAACAGCCACGCACCTTCAAAACAGATAGCAACCTCTTTTCCTTTATGCAATAACCTTTACAAACATTTCCAACCATGCCTTTGTTTATGTGTTTTATTAAAAATTTACATAAATGAACACACTCCATCAATTGGGGTATGCAGGTGTCCCAGGTTAAAAAAAATGTACAAAATGCCAGGCCCTGAGGGGCAGGGCAGCAGCAGGCTGGAGCAGCACCTCACTTCCTCTGCACGGTGGTGAAAGCTGGCATCTGGATGGGCTGGATGGAGTGCACTGGCTGAAACACGGGCTTCTTCCGCAGCTCAGAGAGCATCTTCACCGAGGGGAGAAGCTGGTTTCTCTTGATGATCTGCAGTGCCAGCTGCGTGTTACCTACAAGACCATTTTTGATTTAAAAAAGAATAGTGTACCTTTGAATGACTTACAACTCGCTGTTCTCAGAAGAGAGCTGACAAGCCAGCCCTGGGCCCAGCCCAGGTAATGAGCAGTGTTCTGAATATTCACTGACATGCTGAGGCAGACAGGGGAAGTACTGGACAAAAGTGAAGTCTGAGACACCAGTATTGCCTGATTCTTCCTGTTCTGAAGACACAAAGCTTTAACCCCCAAAGCTTTAAGATGCCAGAGCGCTTGGAAGGCACCTTTTCTCTCTACCATCTGCATAGTGAGGCTCTAGAGCTCACAAAAAATGCCCTTAAAATGTGACATGACAGACAGTAATGCAAGTGTCAAGAGTGTATATAAAACATGGTTTTAAAACAAGAAATCTGATTTGCAACTCTATGCATGGGCCCATCAAATAAACACCAATATAAATGGAAAAAGCATTATTTGTTTAAAAGTAAGCACATAAAATTATATGAGAAAACTCAAATTCTGAAGTGAACATTTCTGCCTCTTACTAAATACATCTTTTTAACTGGAAGTTTTACTCTCAGAAGAGATGCACTGTTTTGTTGCCATTTATAGAACAAAATATATCTTTAGCTCCTTTTGATCATATACTTAGAAGGAGGTGACAGATGTAAATCCCATTTTCTACTCTCTTCTGCTCTGTACATGGTTGCAGAAAGAAGGGTTTCCAAAACTTCAGCTTAAAAACACCTTTGTAGGAACAGCTTTGAAGAAGCCTGAAATTCTGAGCCCAAATACTCCAAGTCCTCTGCCTGTCTACAGTGCAAGACAGCTGAAGAGGCAAAAGCACACCAAACATTTCCCCCCACCAGGATATCAAGTCCCAAGGCATACAGGTCTGTGTCCATGACGGCTGCACCAGGCCACTCAAACTGCAGCATTCAAGGGCCTTTCCAGTTTCCCATTATATAGAGGTTTGGTTTTTTTTTTTGCCACACAAACACAGTGAACCTTCAAAAGGAAGGAAGGATTGTGGAGGAGAGTTATCAGTATGACAAGCTCTGTTGCAATACTTGCTACATAGGCCTTGACATGGTTTCTTTGGGAAACTTGGATTGTAGCTGTCTTCATGAAAAGCCTTTCAAACCCTTTTTTATGAGATAAACATCAAGGGTTTTACTGAGCTTATCCAAGACCACTGATTTCAGCACAAAGCATAGAAGATCTCAGCTCAGAAGGTTAACGTTTAGGAAGTCTGGAGTGTGTAAGAACAGGATGGCAATAAGCTATGGAAGGGAAGGCACAGATGCATAGATCCATAGCAGTGTAAATGGAGACAGGGCCTAAAGGGTGTCATCCAAAATCCTGGCACAACTCTATGAAGGCTAGAGATGATGACTACTGCACCCTTCTCCCCTTGTATCCTGAACCTAGGTCGACAGAACATTGCAAAACTTACCATTCTGTAATTCAAGGTACACAGCCAGCAGAATAGCCTCTGGAGGGATCTCTTTGGGGTGGATCAGCGAAGCAGCCTTATTGAAAATGAAGAGGGTGGGGAGGAAAAGTGCTTAAGAGAAACATCCAGCTCAAAGAAAGTGCCCCTTGACAAGATGGCTACCGCCATCTTAGCTAACAAAACCAAATCATTCATAAACAAAGATAAGGGTTTTTTTCAAACTAATACACTCCATCGGGTTTATGCATGCAAGGAGAGACTGGCAGATTATCTGTACTTCAAGACTCATGCTAATTAGCAGCACCACCTACTGTATGTTTACATTAATACAGATCTGTAATTCTTGGCCCAATCTGCTGTGTTTCCTGGGAAGATGACAGGTGAGGAAGGAACCATACACTGCTCCAAAGTTCAGAATACACCATTAACAAGGATCATTCATTAGCTTTCCACATACATGTATTTTTTCAACTATGATGTCAATGAATGTATAGTAGATGTGGAGACCTCCTATACTTTACATCCACAGATGGCCTTACACTCCTTTGAGCTTTACTTTACACATGTGCTATAGAGCCCAAGCATAGACACCTGCCCAATTGAGAAGCCTTGGAAGGAAAATGAGCAAGAGAACAGCCTTAAGCAGTTGAGAGACTCACAGAGTTTGAACCTGTTCACCTACACCACTATGAAGTAATTTGGGAGACTGCTGTTTCAGTTTGCAGCTCAACAATGCATTTGAGTAGTCTTCCTGACAGACAGGAAAGGCTGCAAAGAGACAAACATAACTGAAGGAGATGGACCCAGCTGTAATAAAGACCAAATGACACAGGCTAAGTGAAGATGGAGTTTCAAAATCAGTACTTGAGAATCCTACAGACAAGAGGCGGGCAAGCAGCATACCTCCAGGAGAACTGCAGTCTGGTATCACAGCTCTAAAGTTAATAGCTTAGATGGTGAGTTGTTAAACAATCAGAGAGAAGGAAACTCAAGGCCCTTGAGAATCTTTTCCTCTGAAATGTAGCAATTTCTTTCAGACCATAAAAAAAACAACAACAAAACACAAAGCCCTAAACATAGAAGTGAAAACAGGCTTCCTAATATCAAAACAGTGGAATATAATTATTTGGTGGTAAATTCTTCCCATAGCAGTACTAAACTACATAAGAAAGAAATTTGTAATTCTTCATTTTATGTTACTAGAAGAGATTGGTCCAAGAAGACAGGAGAGAGCTGCCATCTCAACAAACTCCACAAATAAACCTGGGCCATGAAATCACCAAGATTTGCTGTGATCTAAATGACATTTTGAAGGAAGTACATCTGGCCCTACAGCTGTCTTGAGCTTTGTTTTTCATACCTGATGAAGACACTTGCGAGCTTTGTCATATTCACTCCTCAAACAGTAAGCACTGCCAAGGTTAAACAACATCATTGTTCGTGCAGATGTGACTGAACTGGGGTAACACTGTGGGGTCTGCTTGCCAGCTGCAATCAAAAGTAATTTTTTTTCATACACTTTTATTGGCCAAGGAAGTTCCTGCACTCTGCTGAATACAGGGGCTGAGGTACTTACAAGACTCCATTGCCTCATTCTCTCCTTTGTCAGACCCTGCAAAGAAAACCCACACAAAATCCATCATGTTCCATAAGCTTTTTTTAAAGCTTATTACAAAAAAATAAGCTTGCTTCTTTCTAAAGCTCAGACTTAACCACAGTTGTGCATTTAACAGAAGCAGTTTTCAAAAGTTACCTTAATTTATGTTACAGGATTAGCCACTTTAAAAGAATGACAAACATGCAAAAGACAAAGTAGGGACTGAAGCCAGGAAAACAGAGCACAAACAAACAAAAACCCTCAAGCAACATACAGTATTAAAACAAAGACATCTTAATCATCATTATATCTGCATATAGGAAGTTACAGCAGGAAGGCAGGTGAAAGCATAACCCGTTCTAATTAAGTGTGGGTTCATTAACCTTGATCCTGCTCATTTGAGGAGATCCCAAGGGAAACATCAGTGACATTCTCAGGGTTCAAGTGAGTGATGGCATCAGATATTCTGTCTAGAGAGATGAGAGCTTCTGCTGCATACAAATGCCCAAGAAACCTACAACAGCAAAAGGTTAGGTACAGATGTCAGTGTAACCACCCCCAAAATTTGTTAGGTAAGACAAATGAATGCAGTTTTTAACACAAGCACATGAAAGCTTCTACCTGAAGCACTTGCATGGAAGTTAGCTTGCTTATAAGGTATTGTCAGAATACTTGGCACTAATGTTGTGAAAAAATAGGGACCTGAGGGATGACCATTCATTCATGCACAGAACTGCCATTCCAGAAAGACACTGCAGCTTTATCTCAGATAATTAAAAAAGGAGTTCTTACAAAAACATCCCAAGATATGGATACAACTACAATCTGAGGTGTTAAGTGACTTTGCAGTCAAAAATCAAACTAATTTGGTAAGACAGCTGCATTTCTAAGGACAGCAACTACACAGGCCTGTCCATGGGGCACAAACATCTTTCCATCTGTGGTTTTTCAAAATAGTTATGCAAATCTGATGTCTGACACTTGCAGTTGAGCTCAACTAATCAGCAGCTTTCCTTTTCAACTTGGGAACAGAAGGAATCCTGATGATAAATATTTGCAAACTAACTACACTGTTTAATCTGAAACAAAAGTTGAGCAAAAAAGTTCATGCTTTCTGTATGCACCTGTATACAGTATACTTCGAACTGACTGTATAGTTGGTTGCAATGAATTACAAAACGTCGGGTAAAATAATTAACTGTGCAAAATAACTTCTGCAGTTTAGATCTCATAGAGCAAATAACTTTCTACATGCTATTTATTTCACTTACAAAACCAGGAACAAGATTCCCCACCTGCACAAAAGCCTAGTTCCCCAAGTCCAAGACTGTATTTGCAAAAAACCTGCCATCTAGTGTTTCTTGCATTATATAATTTTGTGAGGGCAGTGTTACCCGTATGTTTTACCTTGCAACCTTCTCTAAAATCTTGCTTATAAAATGACTCTGCAAAAAGATGAGCTTCTGCAACAGTTTGAAGCATGGGAGTCAAAGAATTTAATTGGCATGGACCATTTTAGAGTATGCCACCAGCATGTAAAAATAAGCACAAATTAGCTTCCTTTCTGCAAGTACATTACCACTTTTGAAAAATACTACTACCATAAAACCCTCTGCTGTATTTTATCCTATGCACGACACAGGAATTAAATGCACAAACAAGGTCAGAAGCACAGAGCTAAAAGCTGCCTTTTTAGAATTTGCAGAGATGTGTGAGAACTCGTGGGCACAAACAGAATGAGCTTTCAATATCCTTCCAAAAAAAATACAGTGCCAAATGAGAACTAAGAAAGAGAAACTGAAGAGTGGAACCTATATAAGCAAGAGGAGCAGGTGAAGTGACAGTCCTGCACACCCAAGATCTGCTATCCTACTGACTGAACAAACCTTCCCCTGAGGCTGTAGTTTCATAACAAACTTTCCGCAGCATGCTGGCTTGGGCTAATATTGTCTACACTCAGATGCTCATTCTTGCCCCTTGTGCTGTGCCAGCACAAGCAAGTGCAGCCCCACAGTGAATCAGGACAGAGACCTGACAGCCCTGTCATTGCATGGGACCCATAGCTGGAGGTTTCACAAACAGCAACAAAAGCAGTGATAGATTCTGAATTTCATGGAATTCATACACAAAGGAGGGGACTCACGTTCCTGCGTGCCAATGAACATTTAGTCAGGGCTTCAATATGAACAGGAGCAGGCCAAGCAATTCTTTGCATCAGATACAGAATTGCCAAGCAGCTACAGACACTGGAAGCTTCAACTCAGAACTCTCCAGCAAAAAGTAGGGCTGAGAAAGAAGAAGTGACCACATCGGACTTACTTAAGAGACCCTGACAGCTTTGGTTGCTGAAGAAGTTTATCTGCATGATTCAATGCCATAAGGTTATCACCCAAAGCCAGAGCCACGTAAGCACTACACGCAAGTATTGAGCACCTGGAGGGGAAAAAAAAAAAAAAAAGGAAAAAAAAAGAAAAAAGGGAGGGGGGGAAACCAATATGTTAAATGGAGAATTCTGTGATTCCAAATGCAGCTTTTAAATTTCTTTCTTGTTAAATGCTGAAGAAATAAATCAAACTTTCAATAATGTCTTTGCATCAAACTGAAGTAAAGAAACTGTTCTTTCATTTTCTGTGGCCTCAATTGCATTCTCTGAATTAGGCGATACATATATTGTGTTCTACCAGTATAAACCAAGGACCTCTGTAAGATGTCTGCAATTTGACCATAAATAGATTAAAAAAAGATGGACCTCACCACATGTAATTTTTCTCATGGACAGTTTCTCTTTCTCACCCTCTTTTTATTTGTTCTGCCTTGAACTCTTTATTTTTACTTCCCTGCCTTCCCCTTCTGCTGCAGGAAAGGGTAGTAGATCTGTAGAGTTCTATAACATACAATCTAGGCACACAGTACCAAACAATCGAGTTGAAGTGTATTCCACTTTTGTATGGTACCATGTCTGCACACAGGGAGACCGTAGGACTGGGGAGTTTGTCCTGTCCAGTTTTGTGTCCAGCTGAGAGCTGTAACCCACTGCCAGGACTCCGTCTGATCTGTTGCATTTTGTTGCCGTCACAGACTTTCTTTCCAAGCCCAGGGAACCTGACAGTTCCTGTAAGGAAACCAGAGCTACTCGTGTCTTCCACCTCCAAACACTAGCCCCGGGTCAGGCCACTGTCACCAGGCCGAGCTCCACGCCCTGCAGTAACTGTCCCGCCTCCCCAGACAGGGCACCGGGGATCTGCGGGGGCGCAGGCTGCCCTGT